CAATTCTTCTTTTTTAAGTTGATCTTTCATCTTCTCCCGTTCTTCTTTCTTTCTCCCTCGTTCCTCTTTCTTTCTCTCTCGTTCTTTTATAGCTTCCGTATATTTGTTCATTGCTTCTATTTTTTCAGCATYAAGATTGAATTGTTCTTTCATCGCCTCTTCGATACGGTCGATAGAGTTAGTTGATATAGATTTTTGTTTACCTTTATCCTTTGAAGCTTTCCTTCCCATTGGACGAGCAGTCGACGTTAGCTCGGGGGTCGACGTGTTTATATTTGAGGATGATGAGGTATATTGGCCCGAGCCATCATTTTTTGTCCTYTTTGACCCCCTGTCTTCTACTAGATCAACAACCTCCAGAGGTCTTTCTCGTTGACTGATCCATTTTTCTTGATCACGCAATTCAACCCAAGCATGCAAGAAGTTGAATTTTCCACCTTCTAACGAGCTATATAACTCTAAAGCCCTGTTTTTTTTGTCTTCTTCATTCAGTCCACTTTCACGTCGGTGTAGGATCTGTTCATAACAACCAACAAACTTTGAAACGACATGATTTATTCGACTCCAACGATTTTGAAGTGCTTGACGATTCCTACTAGTTTGAGAAATCGTGTCACGATTCACATCGTAATATTCAAGTATACGYTGCCAAAAATTCAGCCTACTTTGACCAGTACCAACTGTTGCATCTTTGCCTATGTTGAGCCAAGCACTACACAACAATATGTCATCTTTGGTTGTCCATCGGTTTTTTTCATTTTTAGAACCGCTTGCTTGCTCTGGCACGAGATTTGGTTGTGAAGAAAATTCTGGAAATTGAGAAGGAGGAGTAGTAGGATTTGGGTAAAATGGCAYTTGAAAATTTAGTGGATAGTTAGGATTTTGGTACATCGGCATTTGAAAATTGTTAGGGCTCATCATAGGAAAGTTAGGATTAGGATACATTGGAGTAGGAGGATTTATGTTTTGTGCATCATCATTTGGATTATGGGATGAAGGTTGGGAAAAATTGAAAAATGGGTTGAACTGGGGCTTTGATGGATCCATTAGAAGTAGAAAATGCAGAGATATTGAATCGAACCCACACTATATATAAGGGTAATGGTAACCGAAGTCAAGGGTGAACAGTAGCCGAAGTCACTGGGTGAACAGTAGCCGAAGTCACGGGTGAACAGTAGTCACTAAGAGTGCGGGGTGAACAGTAGCCGAAGTCACGGGTGAACAGTAGCCGAAGTCACGGGGTGAACAGTAGCCGAAGTCACGGGGTGAACAGTAGTCGCTAAGAATTTGATATAAATACAATTATACGTGACCTTATTAACCATAACACTTTAGTTTTTTAAAATGTCTGAGTCTGAGAGTGAGTATTCTTCA